TAATCTTTATAATACAGTGTTTACACCAAAGGCAATTTAATTTTATAAGGGAAATAGACAATTCCTCATTATTCATAAGTTAGTGGCCCTGAAAAGGGCCTTTTTGGGTATGACTCAAAGTAACGTTTTAACCTCCGAAACCGTAAAGAGTGCGTCCTTGCCTCTTCAGAGCGTAAACTACATCCATGGCGGTTACAGTCTTCCTCTTGGCATGCTCGGTGTAGGTGACTGCATCACGGATGACGTTTTCAAGAAACACCTTGAGCACCCCGCGGGTTTCTTCGTAGATGAGACCAGAGATACGTTTGACTCCACCACGGCGAGCCAGACGGCGGATGGCAGGCTTGGTGATACCCTGGATGTTATCACGGAGAACCTTACGATGACGCTTGGCGCCTCCTTTTCCGAGTCCCTTGCCTCCCTTGCCTCTTCCAGACATGACTATGAGAGTTGTGGTTTATCGAATGGTAATGAAGTTGAGGCTCAAGAGCATTTATGTCACACTACAGGACGTGTTAGAGAACAGAAGCATCTGCTGACTTTTTTCCTGTTTTGTTGTAGCGCCATCAAGTGGTCTTAATAGGATTCATTAACACATTTATGTATGTTGAAACTTTTTTTTCTGTAGATTGGCTAACAACGCAGGGTTTTTGTAGACTATGTTAAACCGTCTATATAACTAACGTAGATCAATGTTTAATTAGTTAGAACAATATTTTTGTAATCTGTAGTTAAGGGATTTCAGAATACTTCCAAAACTGTGCATGTGTCTAGTTTCATTTACAATGTTACTTTGTACTAATAATCATGTAACATATTAATGACTTCCTGTACATTGAAACTTTGTATCTGCTGAACACTACCATGTATTCAGGATTTCAGATCTTCTGTAGTAATCATTCTTCTATCTAAGAATTTATATGTAAGATTTCCTGAAATTTAGGGTGTATGCACATTTCTGACCTTCAATCTTCTTATTGGTTTCCAAAAATAGATGAACAATTGACATTATGAATGAATAAATGAGATTGTTTAAACTTGTGTGTTTGTGACTTCAAAAGTTAAACAAAGATCAATGAACCAGGTAATTATACAGAAAAGTCATATTTAGAGCAGAACAAAATAACAATAAAGCTGTTCTGTTCTGTTCCACTCTAATTGTGCTCAAAGCTACTTTACTTTTTTTTAACTGTCAAAAATCAAATACAAGATTCACAAACTCTGTTTTGCAGATTCCATTAGTCAAATACTCTGGTCTAGCTTTAGTTAGAGCAGAAATGCTCTAAAAATGCTCAGGGACTGGAAAAAGTGGTTGGAGTAGCCCTTTCAGAATGGGAAACAAAAATGCAACAAACTTCAGCTTTTGTCATGCAAGCTGATGATGTGGAATGACCTTTTTACATTTGTATTGACTGAGAAAATTAACGAATGTAGCTTTAATGGTACTGAGGTGTATTAATAAACATACACAAGTCATGTTTTAGATTAAGTAGAAACATTTAATTGCTGGAATGTTACTAGTGCAACAATGTTTATTTTGTTAGTCAATGTTTGAAACGAACCTACTGAGTTATAATATATTAGCCTGGCAAGCCCTTTGCATAGCAATAATTTGGTCCAGTTCACTAGGCTAATAATATATTACACGTTTTTAATTCTTTTTTACAGAAGTTTCACCTTAAAATGTGAGGTCTGTGTGATCACAGGTATGTTCAATGTTTTAACGACTCTTCTTAATTGTTTGAAAAGTTAGCATTAGGAAATGTATATAATCTGACCTACTTGAGATTGATGGGTAATAATTATTTGTGCCCATGTTTAATTTATTTTTAATTTAAGAATTTTTTCCTTGTAATGAATTAAAATGTGCAAATCATCCATGAATTGAATGTTCAACGTAAGCAGCTAAAGACCAGTTTCCAAGTGTAAAATAATTTTGACAGTTGATAGTTGGCCTTGATGGCTAAGAGTAAATCAGTTAAAGAGCAAGTCACCCCCAAATCGACTTTTTTTTGCCGATAAACTAAATAAACGAGTACCGTAAATCCTCTAATACAGGCCCGGGCCTGTATTTGACTCAAGCTCATCAAGCTCCAGGCCTTTATTGGAAGGAGGGCCAGTATTAGAGGCAGGCCTCTATTTCTATTTGAGCAAAATGAACTAATGGTTCATTGGAGTTTTTGACAATTAAAATTGCGCCCACATTTTCAAAGTTAAACACATTTCTTTTAACAACGGTAGTTTCTGCTTCAGTCATCTCCCCCCTCCCCCTGCGCAGCGGCCGCAAACTCACTGATGCGCCTCTCGGAGTTCCTGCTGCTCTAAACATTAAAATAATTATTTCATTTTCTGTTCCTCACTTCTGATGACCTTCAGTGGTGTCTGTTTGTTGCAACAGCAGGTACAAAAACTAACTTGTTTTTATTTGACTATTTTTCTGTCCTGCCTGTTTATTATCTTCCTGCATCTCCTCTTAATCCTAAAGAAAAACTGCTACCTGGGTTCATATATATTCACCTCATGAGTTACCTTTGAACTGCAGTTCTAAAAGATCTACCGACCGCAAAAACAGCGGAGTGCTCGCTGTTTGGCGGCCGTATCAGTGATCAGTGCGTCGGAGGACAAGGTGATGCGCGCAGCGCCCCGCTCCACAGCATGCAGCAAACGCATCAGGCGCCAATAAAAGACAGAAAACATTAAAGGAAATGAACTGACATGAACGATCGCGTGTTAAATTAGTTTTTGAGGTGGCTACACCTGATTGTTACTGTGGCCGTGCTCAGGAGGCAGATCTACCGACCGCGAAAACAGCGAAGCGCTCCCTGCTTGCCGGCCGCATCAGTGATCTGTGCGTCGGAGGACAAGTTGATGCGCCTCGTTCCACAGCAGCGATACACATCAGGCGCAAATAAAAGACAGAAAACATTAAAGGAAATGAACCGACATGAACAATCGCGTGTCAGTACCTACGGTCTGGCACAGAGCGTTGCCCCCCACCCCCACAGCGCAGGAGCTTGTCACCTGCTGACAGCAGGCTGCTGTCTTTTCCGAGGGCTGCATCTTGCCGGTCATTATCACGTGACAGCGACTAGTCGATGACAGGCATAAAAAGTCACTATAGTGAAGTTGACTAGTTCATACACCCCCTACTGCTGCTCTCCAGAGTGTTCTGCAGCATAATCAGCATGTTCTCTTTGAACTTGATAGTGTAATGACCTGGCTGGGGTTGTAAGCCAGGTGCATTCTGGGTATTGTGTTATATGTGTTTCCTATCGTTCTGCTAGTTCCTATGTGCTGATTTGCGTGTTGTGTGAGTGTTATGTAAGCCACAGGGAAGGTGATGTGTGTTCTGTGGAGCGGGTTGAATTAGCATGGTTAACTGACACCGTGACTCTGTGTGGTAGGAGCGTGATAGAGGATCGTGTCTGTAGCGTTACAAAACGTTGAAGAGAAAGCCTAATAAAGGTCTGCGTGAACCTCTACTGCCTCCTGCTGGTTGATTTGGGGGCTATAACCCTGCCGCTGGGACGCTCATACTTGCTTGTTACTACATTCCACCCGGCCACAATAAGAGACCGGCCATTATTTACCTCGGCTGACTCCGACACCGGCCACAATTGGAGACCCGGCCTTTAATTGAATACCGGCCTGTATAGAGCTCCGGGAGTTGACGTCACTTCTCCCGGCATGCAACAGTTCAAATCGAAACGGTGCCATATTGGCATGCAGAAGCCGGCAGCTGGACTATTTACTATTGTCAGAAAACTCAATCAAACGGGAAATATGGTAGATTCCTGTTGTGCCCCAGGATGCAGAACAGACGCGGACGACATAAGGAATGAGCCATCTACAGGATTCCCCAAGATCCGGAGCGCCGCAAACGTTGGATCATTGTAATAAAACACGCTAGTGACCGGGCGAAAATGAAGCTGTGGGATCCCGAGAGTAAAGGTTTTCGCTTATGCAGCGACCACTTCATATCAGGTACTTAAACCAACGTTTCCTCAACTGTGTATGGTGTTTATTTTAAATGCTTTTATTATGATTCTTAGTGGGCTTCCTAAACTTATTTTGGCGTGGCTTTTTCTGTCTTATTACTCATAGCAGCAAGTAAACATCACGTAAAACGTTGCCTCGTGAGTTCTGCGTGCTGCCGTTTACGTGTTTTATGATGACAGCAATTAACCGGCTAAGCCGTATTTAATTTTTAAGCAATGGTTGATCAGATCACACATAAAAAGCACTTTGGATTGCTATTATCTGTGTCACCGAGACTACTTACATGTAAATCTGTTATTTGTCTGTCCATCCATCCATTTTCATCTGCGTATCCGGAGTCGGGTGTCTGGGGCAGTAGCGTGACTTCCCTCTCCCCAGCCGCCGGAGCCAGCTCCTCCGGGTAAATCCCAAGGGGTTCCCCGGTCAGGTCCAGTGCTGTGCCGGTCCGCTCCGACAGCTTCTGGCGTCGGAGCGGGCAGTAGAGTCGAGAGTCCCAGACCTTCTCCCCAGCTCCTCCGGCCGGGGGAATCCCAAGGGGTTTCCCCGGCCAGGTCCGGTGTTGTGCCGGTAAGAAGTCCGCTACGACTTCTGGCGTTTTTAAAAAGTATCCCAGGGGCACGGTAAGGGTCGGAGATGTTTAGTCTATTTAATTTCTGACTATATAAAACGATTTCTTCTGTTTTAAAGTGTGAAGTAAACTCCGACTAAGTAAAATCCAAGCGGATCCCGTTCATGTTCATGGTTACATCCGTGTTTGTTTACCTTTTTTGCATGCCAAAATGGCGTCCACTAACTGAGAGTCACGTGGGGTCCGGAGCTCTATTAGAGGATTTATGGTATCTAATCGTGCTGCAGACACATGTAGTCAATAATTTGGCATTTCAGTGCAATCTTAGTTAAAATTTAAATATTCTACCTAAAACTGTCAGTGTTGTGCCATTGTCAGGTAAAAACTCTGCACTGTATTTTAATTTAAATCTGCCACTGCTACTGGCTAAGAGGTATGCTATGATGTAAACTGGTACATTATAATGTCACAATGCTGTCGTGAGCCTGTGTGTATTTGTTAGCAGCTCCGCCTTCTCGGTCTGCCAGGCAACAGCATTTGTTGCATTTTTCAAACAGGAAGTGAGAGTGGAGTTAGACTCTGGTAGGGCTTGACTTGCTCTTTAAATCCGAAGACAATATTGCAAAAAATGTAAATACATATTCAAAATGTAAAAAACAAAAACCTGTGAATACAGAAAAAGCTCTTTAGATGATATGGTGGCTCTTAAAAGAGCCTTTGTGGAGCTGTGATATTAAGTGAGGAGTTCACTTCTTCTTGGGAGCTGCCTTCTTGGCTTTGGGTTTGGCTGCCTTCTTAGCTGGAGCCTTCTTGGCTGCAGGAGCCTTTTTCACCACCTTCTTGGGGCTCTTGGTGACTTTCCTGGGGCTCTTGGCTGGCTTCTTAGCCGCTGCGGGCTTCTTCACCTTCTTGGGGGACTTCTTAGCAGCTGCGGGCTTCTTGGCTGCTACTGCAGCTTTCTTGGGCTTCTTGGCCGCTGCGGGTTTCTTGGCTGCGGGCTTCTTGGCTTTGGGAGCTACGGCTTTCTTTGCGGGCTTCTTGGCTTTAGTCTCCACCTTTTTGCTCATCTTGAACGACCCGGAGGCACCGACTCCCTTAGTCTGGACCAGCGTGCCTTTAGACACCAGGCTCTTGATGGCGGTCTTGACGCGGGCTTTGTTCTTGTCCACATCGTATCCTCCAGCAGCCAGAGCCTTCTTGAGGGCAGCAGCAGACACACCGCTGCGCTCCTTGGACGCGGCCACAGTTTTCACGATCAGCTCACCGACGCTGGGGCCAGCCTTCTTCGGCTTGGCGCTCTTCTTCTTGGCTGCTTTGGCCGGAGCGGCGGCGGGAGCTGGAGCAATTTCTGCCATTTTCTTCTTTCTCTGTGTTCGTGTAGAAACCAAACTCAAACGAGACTCAGACTAACTGAAACTCCGTGAGCTACAGGCTGTACTTAACCACTCCATGAGAACCGTGAAGACTCAACTCTTGCTGCGGCTCCTGTTGACAACATGGACGTGTTCTGTTTGTGTTTTCTCTTCACCATAAAACTGGATAAATACGAGCGCGTGAGCAGTGCAGCATGCTGTCAGAGTACGAGTCTACAGCGGACTTGTGTCTCTTCATGTTCAGTTCATGCTGGGCTCTGATGCTTTCTGCATTTTGTTGCTGGAGCTTAAAAACTCCACCGATTCGCCTCCGGACTCGGCGCTGATGAGCTACTTTTCCATCTCTTATTTATTCTACAATCACGGTACGCGCAGTAAAACGCGTCATAAAGCAAGTTTACATGTTATTTTATAGACACAGACATAAAACAACCACCTACTGAGAGTACATTTACTAGAAAAGGAAAATTTTGTTGCAACATCAAACACACTAGCTGAGTCAGTCAGAAGCTGTCTGCTGCAGATGATCTCTCTGCTCCAAGTCCCCGATGAAGGCTAAATAAAAAGAAGATTCTTATTTTAAGTCACTGCAACTGTTTTTCTTTCACATATGGAAATTTAGCAATTATTTAGCTAAAACCCTGGCAAAGGCAGAGTTTCATCAGCAGGACTGAATAAATTGAAGCACTGATCAGAACAAGAGATGGATGCTCTCAGAGTTTCTAACAGTTACCTAAACTTTATACTCAATCAACTTTGAATGAATTAAAGCATGTAAAGCTAAACTTTGTTTATTCCAGTGTTTTTGGCTTTTGATTTATTTTTTTCCCTATTACTTAAAAGTAATCTTTATTTGTTTTACTACACAATGAGACTTCAAATCACAATGACATGTTTTATGTATTCTGGAAAGAAAATAAATAATTGTGCAATGCTGCACATGAAAATAGAAACAAATTGGTTGATGAGTAGAATCAGATCATGGTAAATGGCCTGATTTTGTATAGCGGGTTCTACAACGCCCCAAGGCACTTCAAAGCACAGTCAATCACCCATTCACATATAACAATCAGAAAGTGTCGTTCATTTTGTTTTTCCTTCTAAAACAAAATTTCAAATACCAAGAAGCACACTGACTTAAAATGAAGGAACATTTCTGCTAATGCTTAATAACTTGGATTATGACACATGTTTGAATCCACAGTCATGTGTCGGTGTTATATCATACAACCAGATTCTCAGTCTTTAAGGCCTCCTCCCCCCATTTTTTTCATAACTTGATTCAACTTATTTTCCACCTTGAACTGCCATTACATTTTAATTTTAATGTATTTTTTATTTAAAAACAATGAGAGGCGGGCATGTAGATCCTCTGAGAGAAAGTGGAAAAAGGATGGCCTACAGGTCTCGCGTGAGTTGTTCAGAGCATCTCTGGTTGCTTATCAGGATGCAGTGAGGGCCGCCAGAATGGCCTATTTTGCAGACATCACTGAGACAAACTCCAATAATCCTAAGATTCTCTTCAAAACGCTAAACTCAGTTCTGGTGTATCAGGAGCCTAGCACCATGTCTCCTACAGCTGCTGGAAACTCTGAAGCTTTTCACAAATTCTTTGTTGATAAAGTGTCGGGCATTAGAGCAGTCATTTCTGGTAACTCTGTTGACCCTGTTCCAGTTCATCCATTACCACCCACCCTGAGCTCCCTCAATACAGTTTCATACTCTGAGCTGAGTAAGCTAGTTGCGAGGCAGAAGCCATCTGGCTCTCCACTTGATGTTCTACTGCCTCGTCTCTGGAAGGCTGCCTTTCCGTGCCTTGGCCCATCACTTGGTCAGATTATCAATGGGAGCCTCAGCACAGGTGTGGTCCCAGCTGCTTTGAAAGCAGCAGTTATTCGGCCGACCCTGAAGAAACCTGGTGCTGATGTCTCTGTGATTGAAAATTACAGGCCTATCTCTACCCTGCCCTTTACATCTAAACTGCTTGAGAAAGTCGTTTATCAGCAGCTGGTCTCACATTTAGCTGACTCTGATCTGTTTGAGGTTTTCCAATCAGGGTTCAGGTCTGGCCATAGCACAGAGTCTGCTCTACTGAGGGTCCTAAATGACATCTATCTATCACTAGATCACGGAACATCTGTGCTGCTTCTGTTATTAGACCTGACAGCAGCCTTCGACACAGTTGACCACGCGATTCTACTCGATCGCTTGGAACGATGGATTGGGATCAAAGGGTCAGCTCTGGACTGGTTTAGATCGTATCTCCAAAACAGGACATTCTGTGTTAAACTGGGTGATGTTTTTTCTTCTTGGGAGGGGCTCCGGTGGGGGGTCCCGCAGGGGTCGATCCTTGGTCCACTTTTGTTTGCCATTTATCTGCTACCTCTGGGGTCAATCTTTCGTAAACATGGCCTATCATTCCATCTGTATGCTGACGATTGCCAGATTTACTCTCCATTGTGTCAGGAGAAAGGTCACTCTATTCAGTCCTTTGTCTCCTGTGTTAATGAGGTGAAGTCTTGGCTAATGTCCAACTATCTACATCTGAATGAGGGAAAGACAGAGCTGATTGTTTTTCACCCCAACAGCAGGAATGTGGATCGTTATGCTGATCTTGGCCCTCTTTCTCCATACTCAAAACCAGTTGTTACCAGTTTGGGGGTGAAACTTGATGTAGGACTTAAATTTGATGCTCACATCAATTCTGTGATCCGGTCCAGTTTCTTTCACCTGAGACGCCTTGCTAAAATCAAGCATATGCTGTCGAGAGCCCACCTGGAGCGGGTACTGCATGCCTTTGTAATTTCTCGGCTTGACTACTGCAACTCGCTCTACGCAGGGTTGTGTCAGTCAACACTGCGTCGCCTACAGGTTGTGCAGAACAGCGCTGCCAGGTTCCTGATTGGGACCAGGAAACGGGACCACATCAGTCCAGTTCTGGCCTCCCTGCACTGGCTTCCGATTTCCTATCGCTCACAATTCAAAATACTCGTCTTTGTTTATCATTTCTTCCAGGGTGGTGCTCCCCCCTATCTGGCCACACTCCTGAACAGACATTCCCCATCACGCGCTCTGCGCTCCTCTGACCAAGGCCTGCTCGCTGTCCCTCGGTCTAGGTGTCATACCCGTGGGGACCGGGCTTTCTCAGTCCTAGCACCGTTACTCTGGAACCAGTTGCCACCCTCAGTTAGGCTGTCCCCATCTCTGCCAGTCTTTAAGAATCACCTAAAAACACACCTCCTCCGCTTGGCGTTTCCAGAACATGTTTGATTATGGCCCTCTATTATGTTGAATCCATTCCACAGTTTTCATTGGTACACTCAATCCATCCACTCAATCCAATTGTGTTTCACACATTTGTATTTTACCGGACTGTTTCATCTATCTTGTAATTTCCATTTTGTAATTTGTATTTTGTAATTTGAATTTCTTTTATTGTTGATTTATTCAGTATAATTACTTACAACTGTACCATGTTCAGCACTTTGGGCTTCCTGACAGGGTTGTGGAAGGCGCTTTATAAATAAAGCTTTGATTGATTGAGATTTATATCACATTGCAGTCAGAAGAGGCTTATGAAATGTAACTTTGAGTACATCTTATTTAAGTACTGTTACTCAAGTAACGACCTTTTAAAGCACTTATGTTTTTACTTTTATAAACATCTATATTTAAATAATCTGGTACAATTATAAACAGCAATAAAACTCAGCATCAATAAAGATTACCCCACCAATGTGTCTTAAATACTTATTCAGGGTTCTTACATTTTTCACACTGACAAATTGCAAGCCCTTTTCAAGCATTTTCAAGGTAAAATGTCACAATTTTCAAGCACCATTAGCAAAGACAAAACAATACATAAGAACTCAAGAGGATAGTTTCACCTCACATTTATAGGGATGATCCCCCCCCCCCCCCCCCCCCACACACACACAGGATTGGAAATTGAGCATGATCATGTGATTTTTAATGATTGGAATCAGATGAAAAATATCAGATATAACCTTATAAAGCAACTAGCATGAACTTTTGAATCCATCTTCCAACTTTAGAACATAATGACGATGGCTTCGTTTTAACCAGTCTAGTTTTAGGATGACAGACTACAACTAAAAGCAAACACCCTGCTCTCCCAGTTCACAGCAGCAACAGACAAAAACACACAACCAGCTACTAGAGACACATAAAAGATCAAGAGAATTTGCCTATGAACAGCAAAAACACACACTAATGACACCAGATGACTGTGGTTGCAGCTCCGCAGTATGAGCAACTTTCTCGTCACTATTTTACACATCAGCACTACAGGTGTTATGAAGGGAAGAGCGAGCCTGATGGGCCGCAGCGTTGGTGTACCGTAATGCTTATCACTCAACACAGCCACACACTGTTAAAGCAATTTGAAATAAGAGCAATGAGGTTATCAGAAATATTTTTAAATTTAACACGTTTCTTATCAATGTTCTTCCTGAATGATGGTGAGCTGAGCCAAAAGGACCGACTAACTGAGAAGAGCCGTAATTCCCATAACTACCATACTCCACAGAGTAGGAACGAAATAAATTTAAACTATAAAAGTTGATCTTTTATACAAAGCTTTTTAAGTATTTCCAAGGGCTCAAATCACCCGTAGGACGCCCGCTGCGATATAACCATTGGTCATTTTCAAGTGATAATTGAATACTAGCGCGACTTGTACAAATTTTAACAAGACAATAACAAGCCCTCTGATGAAGCAGTAAGTGGCTCTTAAAAGAGCCGTTGTGGTGATGTTGGAGCTGGAAGACTTTATGCTCGCTCTCCACGGATGCGGCGGGCCAGCTGGATGTCTTTAGGCATGATGGTGACCCGCTTAGCGTGGATGGCGCACAGGTTGGTGTCCTCGAACAGACCCACCAGGTAAGCCTCGCTGGCCTCCTGCAGAGCCATGACGGCGGAGCTCTGGAAGCGCAGGTCGGTCTTGAAGTCTTGAGCGATTTCTCTGACCAGGCGCTGGAAGGGCAATTTGCGGATGAGCAGCTCGGTGGATTTCTGATAACGACGGATCTCTCGGAGAGCCACGGTACCGGGCCTGTAACGGTGAGGCTTCTTCACACCGCCGGTAGCCGGAGCGCTCTTCCTGGCTGCCTTGGTGGCCAGCTGCTTCCTGGGGGCTTTGCCACCGGTAGATTTGCGAGCGGTCTGCTTGGTTCTAGCCATTATTAATGGTTTATCAGTTTGGGACTGAAGAAAATATAATCTGAACGAGCCGAGAGTCGCTGCTCTTAAAGAGTGAGGGCAGCTGCGGGACGGTGACGTCGCTTCACGGCATCAGCTCGTGATTGGTGGCCGTCTCCTCCTGGAGCTCAGCCCCACCCAGAGCAGCGGTTCCCCGCCTGAATGCTGGCCGCTTATTGGAGATACGCTGTGTTCAAAAAGCTTCTCTCCTCCTCAGCTCTTCTGGTTGGCTGCCACCAGTTTCTCTCCGCTCTGTGCAGAAATATAAGGAGGTTTGGGGCTACCTCTCGCCACTATTTCTCGAGTATCTCCATTAGGCAGTAATTTGAACAATGAGTGGCCGTGGTAAAACCGGAGGCAAGGCCAGAGCTAAGGCCAAGACTCGCTCCTCCCGTGCCGGGCTCCAGTTCCCAGTGGGCCGTGTTCACAGGCTGCTGCGTAAAGGTAACTATGCAGAACGTGTCGGTGCAGGCGCCCCTGTCTATCTGGCTGCTGTGCTGGAGTATCTAACGGCCGAGATCCTGGAGCTGGCTGGAAACGCCGCCCGCGACAACAAGAAGACAAGGATCATCCCCCGTCACCTGCAGCTGGCTGTCCGCAACGACGAGGAGCTCAACAAGCTGCTGGGTGGAGTCACCATCGCTCAGGGTGGTGTGCTACCTAACATCCAGGCTGTGCTGCTGCCCAAGAAGACCGAGAAGCCCGCCAAGACTAAGTAAAGCTACTGCTTCTCATCGCTACCAGCCCCAAAACGGCTCTTTTAAGAGCCACACAATCCTCACAAAGAGCTCCATTTCTTGGAGTGGATGGATTGTATTAATGTAATAGTTGGGTTTCAGTCACGTGGTTAAAATGACGTGCGAATTTTGGTTGGAGGGCAGGAAGTAAACAGCAGAGTACAGCTATGGAGGAAACCGCAGAAGAGAGTCCTTGTCTTTAGACTCAGTTTCGAAACAAAGGTACACGGATTTAACAATCTAATATGTTGGACGTGATCCGTATTTAATGAAAATTAGTGAGTTTACCCCAGAATTAACGGCTTTGCCGAGAATAGAGTGTTATTTCAGACATCGTTATACACTAAACAACAAATGAAAGCATATGAAAGTCTGGAAGCATATAATTTTTTTGTTAGCGGGTGGGTCCACAATCTCGGTACTGAACGGCTCTGTGATGATTATTGTCTGGTATTCGCCAGGGTGAGTTTTTGTCTTTAGATTGATTTATACTAGTGGTGGGCATAGATTAATTTTTTTAATCTAGATTAATCTCACTGTAATCTTGGAATTAAAATAGATTAAAATGTCTCATTCAAATTCTGCCAAATGCATATGTGTGTGTGCTACCTAGATCATGAATAAAAGCAAGTCTTTGAGAATGGAGGCATATTTCTTGTTTCAATAATGCATCAGACTGATAAAGCAGATAACTGATGATGAAAATAAATAATGATCAATAAGTATTTGTGTTTAATAGCTGTTTATTCAGTTCAACAAATTCTGCCCTGTAGGTCTACAGAATAGGTCATGATTAACTATTTACAGTCAGTAGCATTTGGTCAATCAGTCCAAGCTCTATTTCTCCTTCTTCCACCAGTCACTCAAGCAGACCAGCTTGTTCACATTGTCTGGTGACAAACTAGATCTTCTCTTCTGCACAATATGGCCTGCTAAAGAAAAAAGTCTCACATGGGACAGTTGTGGCAGGAGTCCCCAAATATTTACGGGCAATGTGGGCCATCTTACCATACACAGCAGTGTGTTCCGACCACCACTTCAGTGGACACTGATCTAAATTGGCACTGGGCTCTACCTTGTACCTCTCCACAGTGTTGTCTACTGGTGTCTCCTCATCTGAATCTGAGTCTGATCCCAATAGTAGAAGGGCTCTTTTCTTCTTGGGTGGCTCAGGGTTCTCCTCCCTGAGTGGCTTCAGAGTAGGTTCTTGTCCCTTCACCAACTCACGTAGCTTTACCCACACCGGCTCCCTCTCTGCTCTGGGCAAGCACTTGAGGTCCTTAAATCGTGGATCTAAGGCAGTCGCCACCTTTAATAAATAAAACAAAATAATTATTATTGATGAAAATTTCACTTTCCAAATCTAACCTCCATATTTGTTCACGACTCCTTCATCTATTCATTTGACCAACCTACTAGATGGCTTTCATTTCCACTGCGCAGACCGCAAGAGCGATCACTCTGGCAAAACCAAAAGGTGTAGGTGTCTGTTATACTAACAACAGTTGGTTTGGTGTTCTGATGTGACCATAATCTCCCAGCACTGTTCTCCTGATTTAGAATGCCTACTCTTAAACTGTAACCCTTTGTACTCTCCCCGTGATTTCTCCTCATTTATTCTGGCCACGTCTACATCCTGCCGAGCGCAGACATGCACGCAACGCAGCGTGCACTTGTGGATAAAATTTTGTGCGTGGAGTAACAATATTGTGATTCCAGCATTGTTCCAACACTCATTGTTCCAACACTCACCAGACTCACCAAAACAAACTCCTTCAGGTTACCTTTTTACTGTTTACTTACAGATGACTTAGTGCATCTGACACCTGCATTCTAGAAGTAAAAATGAAAATCACTGCAAAAGTAAATCAAAAATATAAATTTCAAACTCAAACCCTATCCTGCAGTGAAAAAAAAGTCAATATAAAACAAAGCAATGTCATTTCAATAAAAATGTTCCTCTAAAAAAATCTCAGTTATTGTAGTTTCTTGACGCTCTCCTGCAGGTCTTCCAGTGTTTTCGCTAGGGCTAGTAGCTCTTTTGCGATAAGCATTGGATTTGGACAGTAATATGAAGTCCTGGTTTTTTTTCTATTTTCATTGCCATTTTGTCTGCCTCTTTCTTCATCATCTCACTGCTTTTCATTATTCTTCTCTGTTTTGCTTTGACATTTTCTATGTCTTGGTGGAGCTTTCTTTTCTTTTCCTCTCATTTGCAGTTTGTTCTTTATTCTTTTTTTCATCCTTGAGGTATTGCACATACCTCATTCTGGCTCCTTTGCAGTGTTGGAGTAGGTCTTTTGGCAGGGCTTCATTAACTGCACGCTCAGCCATTGCATCCTGGACCAGCCACAATGCTATCAGACTCCTCTCTTTCTAGTTTTCCACTAGCATGTCCTTGTTTACGGAGTATCCTCGCTCCACTGCTGCTTGTCCATGAGACAGCGTTAGGAGACATTTCATCATGTCCCACAGTGCTGCATACTCTGCTCTACCACTGATAAATCTCCCAAAAAATTCTTCAAGCCTGCATCTGTATGAAAAATCTTGGAATTCTGCCTTGAGGTTTACACTTGCATGCACTCAGAAAGTTTTATACTGAGCAAGGATTTTGTCGCACTCTGAGGCAGTGCACCATCCTGCATTGAGGAGAACCTGTAGGAGTTTCTCAAACATTGCTATTGCACGCTCAGTCTCTGTTACCATGATCACAGGGTCGAGGGAGCTCATGTGCCACACTGCTGGATACACAAGTGGACTTCTCTCCATAATCTTTTTGCATGTCACAGCAAGGAAAGTGACACATTCGTTCATGAACACCTGTATGTTCACTGGATTTTCCTGGAGCTTTTCAGATGCTTTCTGTAAAGCTTGTTTTGTGGCAAATCCAGTGTCCAGTTGTTTGAGTGGCACATGGATTGATTTGTTTTGCACATCAAGTTTCAGCAGCTGGACAGGTGTTTTCATCTTCTCCAATTATTCTCTTTTAATAAAGCATGACAGCAGGCATCTCAGGATAGACTCAAGCTCTTTTGCAAGGAAAGACACCATTGGTGCATTTGTCTGGAATTTCAACAACAAATGCAAAAAACTGTAGCTTTGCCTGAAAGAGAGGATCAGCTGTGGCCTCTTTTACTGTACAGTAGGAAGCAGATGATGGTACTTTGCTTTTTGGGAGTTTCTGGTGGCTGCTGATGTACTGTTGCACAGCTGGCCACACTTCCATTGCCCGCTCTGCAACTGCCAAGTCTTCAACCCATCGATGGTGTAGCGTGATGAAGGTTCTCTGATTTGTGCCAAAGGTCACATTTGCCCAGCTGGGTCAAGCTGGGTCAAACAGTACTTTGAATCCACAGATTAAACCCAAGGAGCCACAATGTCTGCTCAAGACCATAACATCATATCTGTTGTTCCGTCCCGGAAGAAGGACACTTCAAGCCACGATGATAATAATTAGATACTAATTAATAAACTCATTGTTTTTTTACTGTTTAATATAATCATTACAACATGATCACTTGGAGGGCTGTGCAGTGGCGCAGTGGTTAGAGCTGTTACCTTGCAGCAAGAAGGTCCTGGGTTCGCTTCCCGGCCTGGGGTCTTTCTGCATGGAGTTTGCATGTTCTCCCTGTGCATGCGTGGGCTCTCTCCCGGTACTCCGGCTTCCTCCCACAGTCCAAAAACATGACTGTTAGGTTGATTGGTCTGTCCAAATTGTCCTTAGGTGTGAGTTTGTGTGTGCATGATTGTTTGTCCTGTGTGTCTCTGTGTTGCCCTGTGATGGACTGGCTCTCTGTCCAGGGGGTACCCCGCCTGATTGCCCGTTGACCGCTGGAGATAGGCACCAGCCCCCCCCCCCCCGCGACCCTGCGTGGACAAAGCGGGTTCAGAAAATGGATGGATGGATGATCACTTGGTTCAATACAAAGGTATTTTAATTACATGAAATTGATTATTATGCTTTGGGTATAATAATGATTAATTATAATGATTATAAAGATGTGTTCAGCAAAGAAGACCTTCACCCTATCCAGCTAACACAGAGTTCAGATAAACAATAACTGCATAACATGTTTTTGACGCATGTTCAAGCTTTCTTCCGGAGAGAGAGGGAGTGGTTCTGAGAGAGTTTGGTAAAACTAACCATAACAGATTTCACGTCCAGTTCTGAACAAGACATCATCCTGAGGAGTCAACAAGAATGGCTAAAGAATGAACAAAACTAACGAACTAATGAAAGACTCTCCCAGAGTCATTGATTTCTGAAGTTAAGTTAAACGAGAACGTTCATCTGCCAAACGCTTCATACACCGAGTGACCCAAGAAGATATCCCAGAACCGATCTGGTCGTGCTAGAGGTTTTTCTACCAACCTCGTGCCTGGAGGAAACCCATCTCCACCTGGACACTTCGGATCCGAACGGGGGTCTTCTGATTGGGTGAGGTAGACCTCGACAGAATGTGTTTGATGCTGTTTCTCTCAAAATAACTCAGTTATCTGCAAAACATCATTTCACCCAGAACGCTTTCAAGCTCTCTGAAAGAAACCTTCTGAGAAATTCATTCACACATCCAAAAACTCATCATTCTCATTTTTAGCTCCATTCAGTCACAGGTTTGCTTTTAAACAAGTTTAATATCAAAGCTGTTGAGGATTGTTATTAAAATTGCCATCCATGAATTGTCATTTTTATAATTGTCGTTTCAAATTTTCTGTTTAAAAATTGTTAGTAATAAATTTCTTCATTTTTAAACTTGCCTCATTATTGAAACGAAACACAGAAAAGGGTTGCATTTCCTTTTATCGAATGAAAAGAATCTTACTGAAACTTCTGTTTAATAAATAAAGTTTTGCTATTAATTTAAGTAATTAATTTTCACCCCATTACAATGGGCACAGAACTTCAGAGGAAATGTTGTTTTGGTCACCTCATTGAAGTCAGCACGTCTTGCTGGTGAGTCATGGAACATCTGCCAAAGTGCTCTAAGCACATGTCCCACCTTCCAACCAGTTTCTCTTTCTCCATCTTGAAAACTTCTATGAAGAACATGCAAACCACAGCTTCCCAAATTTATCATCTTTGGTGCATCTGGGTCCTCTCGGCTTTTGTCCTCTTGGAATATCCTCAGGAGCATCCAGTTGACAGCAGGACCATCCATTGAAATCTGCAACAGCTTATTCGGATTTAATGGTGACAGGGCTATCTTGATCCTTTCCAGAAGCTTCTCTGCTTGCGTGCGTCCCATTAACTCTGAATCAAAATAATGCACCACAACCTTCCCTTTGTGTTCGCTCCAGTGTCTCACTACAATATCCAACTGTTCTGTCTGTGTCACTTTCACAGCTTGGCTTGAAAAACATGCTGAGATGACCTGTGTTTCTGAGCCACTTCTCTCTCCACTTGTACTAGGCACTGGTAATGCTGTACTTTCATTACTGGAACATTCATCATGTACACTGGCTGCCAGTAGCCCTCTGTTTGTTGGACAGCTACTTCCCTCTCCTGCATCTGTTGAAGTTTTCCTCATGAAATCTGACATTCTTCTCTCACTGCTTAACTGTCCCGAAATTTTGACATGGCCTTGTCCCTGTGCATGACTCCTGAGTGCTGAGATGCCCATGTTACTGATATCAAAAGACTTTCTACACAGCTTGCAATATGCCCTCCAGATACTTCTCCTAGCCAGTCCCTGAACTGGGTTTTTTCTTTCCACTCAGTTTTGAATTAGCACTGTCTTCCTGACATCACTCACTCCTGCCTACAAAGGACACAAACATATTTTGAAAGATTATTACTGTTTATATTGACTGTTTATTCAATAAATTAGGCCTGCTTTTCAAACCTTAGCTCTTTTATATCTTTCATATTCTATGTATTATACTTACTGTACACACCACATTACACTTTACTGCTTATTTCACGTAGTTGGATGTTAAACTGCATTTTGTTGTTCCAGTATTGGTCATTTTAGGTTAGTCCAGTCATCTGGAAACAAGATTCAGGGTAGATGACTAGGCGAATATCTCTCGCTAACATCACAGACATGTTGAACCTGGAAATTATTTATTTTCTACCTCAGAGATAAGTACTTGTAGTTGTTCGCTACCTTTTTAGTCTGGACTGTACATAGCATTACTATGATAAATATATAGTTGCCACTTAAAATCATTCTAGTTATTAATTTAGAATTCAGTTTAATTACGTTAACAACTTTGTTCAACTTACCATGCCAGTCTTCAGTTCTCACTGCCTCCTGGCTGCGGTCTGTGTAGCTAGCTAAAAACAGGATTAACAGCTGAGGCTCTGCCCTCTGAGCACATACTTAGTTTTTTGATTGAACTGAATTCATGACATTTTTCTCATTCACATATTTTTGCTTCTGCTGTCGGACGATAGAACAAGTTTGAATTACTGAGTGGAGCGCGGGTCCAGTAGACTATCTGTTATCCCAACACATTCTCACACCCTAAGCGTCGGAAACAAACGCTTGGTCAGCCACCCTCCACGTCAGACCCCAGATGCCAAAAGTGCCCTTTTTCGTTACTTATGTGCGAAAAGGGGTTTTCCCCTTTTGTAACTGCAGATCCCAATGCAGCGTAAAACCGACGTGATTAGATATCCGCTGATGCGGCACCGAACCAGCTCATTTAACCGCACCTAAACCTTAACGTTTCACTATTTATAACCTTCCCCTCTCCCTTGTCCTAACCTTAACCCTCATTTCACCGATGCAGCACCGAACCAGCTCGTTTAACCGCACCTAAACCTTAAATGCGGCACCGAACCAGCTCATTTAACCGATGCGGCACCGAACCACCTCGTTTAACCGCACCTAAACCTTAACGTTTCGCTATTTATAACCTTCCCCTCTCCCTCATCCTAACCTTAACCCTCTTGCTACCTAAAACGTTACTCTCACTGTGATCAAGTGTTTGTTTCCCCTGCATTCTGACTCTGACAGTCAGAGTCTGACTGTGAATTTTCGTATTTGCCGCCCAAGGGGAACGTTAGAACATACCATCTGGCGAGGGGGAGGTTACACATACCCTCTACTTTTAACCTCCACCTTGGTAGTTGAAACCTCCCCCTCGCGTTGGCTCGGTCCAAACTCGAACAATCACGAGGCGGCTCCCGCCGTTCACTTCATAGAGGCGGCTTTTAGAGTGATCGACGCATCACTAACGTGTTCGCTGGCAAGATTGTTAAGGTTAGGATAGGGGTGAGGGGAAGGTTAAATAAGAGGATAAGGTTAAATAAGAGGATAAGGTTAAGGTGAGGTACAATGAGCTTGTTTGGTGCCAGTGTAACGCTGCATTGGGATGCAACGGTAGCGGACATCCCATCGCTTCGGTTTTACGCTGCATTGGGATCTACAGTCAAATAAGGGAAAACCCCTTTTCGCACATAAGTAACGAAAAAGGGCACTTTTGGCGTCAGGGGTCTGACGTGGAGGGTGGCTGACCAAGCATTTGTTTTTGACGCGCTGGGAGTGAGAACGTGTTGGTTATCCGTCGCTATCCTGAAGCTCTCGTCATGTTCGCTCGTTACGTAATCACGTTACGTTGTTAACACGTTGCGTTGCTCCAGGACAAGCTCTCCATGCTCAACGTACCCAACTCCACCTGCAGGTGGATCACTGGCTGTGTCTCAATTCAGGGTCTGCATCCTACCTCGGCCGGATTCGTCGGCCGGTTACGTCACAGCGCCGCGACTCGGCCTGTCCCAATTCGAAGACTCCTTCAAATGCGGTCGACGAATGCGGCCTTCTTTTCGCCTGAATGAAGGATGGGTCCGGTGTATCCTTCAATGGGTAGCATTTCCAAAGATGCCTTGCGGGCCGGCCGGCAGAAAAACTTAAAAACAATGGCGGACAGTGAAGCGGGAGCTGTCGGAGAGGATTGCGCTTATAAATGTAAGTATAAACTTGAAAACTGTCAGTTTAAGGACTTTTTGTGATACATGAACGTTATTTTAGTTAAAAATGTTACAGTAAAAGTGCTTGTATTGCGGTCTCGGCTCGTATGTTCGGCCGCTCGGTGTCGTACTTCTCCCGCTACGTTTCCCCCTGATTTTAATAGAAGTTTGTATTTTAGGACCAAAAGAGAAAACCAGGGAATTTATTAAGCTTAGGGCAGAGATGGACCACTTTTGATCACTGGAGCAAAGTATTCGGCGGCTGTGGCATGGAGGTACAATAACATCTCATATTTTAAAAACTCGTTTGAGTTTATTTTTTTCTGCGAAAACATGAAAGGAATAACCCGTTGTCCTCTTTTCTCTTCCTGTTTCTTTTCTTACATGTTTGTTAAGACTATTCTGGAGAAAATGGGCATCCAGGGGAAGGTGCCAGCGATGACCAGCTTCTGGAGCTGATCAGGGAGGACATGAGGCTGCAGAGGGAGGCAGAGCAGCAGAGGGCCCAGGAGAGAAGGAAGAACTTTGACAGCTTTTTACTTTGCTAGAAAAAAAATGGTTAATAAAGATTAAACATGTACATATAAAAGAAATATCTAAATAAAATCAGTTCTGCATTAAACTCTTGAATTTTATTTTTGTTTACAAATGAGAATTGTTTACTAGAGGGTATCCGCTGGGTCTTAAAGTCTTAAAAGGTGATAAATCGGTTTTGGTCAAATTAAGACCCTTAGAAAGTATTAAAAACTATTATCACATCTTTGCTCAGGCTCAGCTTGTCTAAAGTATTTTCTCTGAATTAGCTCTCCAACAGTCAAGGAAATGATTAACCCCCAGAGACCCACGGTTGTAACATTACAACATCAGATTTAAGTCCACAAAAATAAACCTTCCCCATTTTTTTTCTTTTTAAAACCACATTTACATTGCTAATAGGTCCTATTGTTCAGTTCTGCAACACTATTGGTTGTTAAAATGTGTAAATAGGCCCGTTTATCTGGCCTAGAACAACATGTGAAAGGTTAAAAAAAGATTTTGCAGTTGTTTTCTAAATTTGGGTTTCTGGGGGTTAAAAAGCTAAATAAAACGTCAAGCTCCATCGTTTAAAGTTCCTTCTCCCTTCTGCCCAGCGGTTCCACGGTTGCTAGGCGACGGAACGTTCGCCGAGGGAGTTCATGAAGGCTAGGCCTGTCCAAATTCACAGCCGTTAACATCCGGTCTACCCGGCCAACGGAGGACGCAGCCCACGTCGGCCGGGTGGGCTGGGTCCTTCGAAGGATGCAGACCCTGAATTGAGACACAGCCACTGACTTCCTGACGGACCGAAGGCAGTGCGTGCGGCTGGGGAAGAATGTTTCCACCATTCAGACAATTAGCACAGGATCTCCACAGGGCTGTGTACTTTCTCCTCTGCTCTTCTCCCTGTACACAAACTGCTGCACCTCGAGCTATGACTCCGTTAAACTAATCAAGTTCGCGGACGACACCACCCTCATCGGGCTCATCTCTGACGGTGATGAGTCCGCCTACAGGAGGGAGGTGGAACGGCTGGTGTACTGGTGCAGCAGCAACAACCTGGAGCTCAATGCTCAGAAGACAGTGGAGATGATTGTGGACTTCAGGAAAGTAACAGCCCCATCTCTCCCCCTCGTCCTGACTGACTCCCCCGTCACCACTGTGGACTCCTTCCGCTTCCTCGGAACCACCATCACACATGACCTTAGGTGGGAGCCATCCATCAGCTCCCTGCTCAAAAAGGCCCAGCAGAGGATGTACTTTCTGCGGCAGTTGAAAAAGGCCAAGCTGCCGACCCAGATGATGGTGCAGTTTTACACGGCCATCATTGAGTCCATCCTCACTTCCTCCATCGCTGTGTGGTACGCTGGAGCCACAGTGAGGGACAAACATAGACTGCAGCGCATTGTGCGCTCTGCTGAGAAGGTGATTGGCTGCAGCCTTCCATCTCTCCAGGACCTGTACGTCTCCAGAACTCGTGGGCGTGCAGGTCGGTTAGCAGCTGACCCTTCTCACCCGGGTCACAGACTTTTTGAGCCGCTTCCCTCGGGCAGGAGGTTACGGTCCATCCGGACCAGAACCTCTCGCCATAAGAACAGCTTCTTTCCATCTGCCGTTAGACTTGTGAACAGCTTATAAACACACAACCATGCTCGTCTTCGGTACTTGACATAACGTTACGTTATCGGCCATATTACCTTTACCTGCCATTTTTTATAGCAAAGTTTTATGCTAGTTATTATATTTTATTCTACTTTATTCTACTCTATTCTATTTTTTAATTATATTATCATGTCATATGTAGCACGTTAGTACCGAAGCAAGTTCCTAGTTTGTGAATCGTTTGTTCACTAACAATGGCAATAAACATTTTCTGATTCTGATTCTGGTCCACTGGTGTTATGGCTTGACTCCTTCCTGTTGAGCTACTTCACGATTCACATGTAAACGAAATAAAGAGGAATGAACAACATTAAGGTTGTAAGACATTAAAAGAGTAAGAAGCTAAATAATTTCTGAGTCTCATATTAGGTTTGAGCATGTTAAAGTCATGCAAATGCAAGAGTTCCAGAAGGATCCGGTACAATCTGGAAAAGTCAACTGTTGGGACCACAACACCACAAAGTGGACATTTGTGATAACACAAATTTACCATCTGCTTGTGTGACATTTAACTGCTAGGATTTATCATTCTTGACTTCAGATGTAATACTGCATTGAAGTTTTAAAAATAAAATGAAGAAATTGATCTGGTGTCCAGTCCAAGTCCTTGAAGGCCACAGAGAAGTTGCTTCCCTGATTCAAGACACCTGATTCAGTGGTTGCCTTACCTGTACAAAAGATTTCAGAAGGCTGTTAATGTTTAATCAGTTAAAATCAGGTGTGTTTGAACAGGGGCACATTTTTTACAAAAACTTTTACATGGTGGCCTTTTATGAGGATCGGTTTGTTGTTCCAGACTAAGTATTTATTTACTTTCTGTTTGTCTTGAGATAAAAGAAATGTAATTTTGTAACTAACTGTATTTACTTCAGTAAGCTGACCTGATTCTGGAGCTGGTTTGATTTGGGGCATTGTATATTGTTTTGAAATAGCACGCAGCAGAAAACATCTGGAAGAAAAAAAACGTTTGTAAATAGAATGGTTAGAAACGTCATGAACTATTGTGAAACAGCGCCACTTGCTGGACATGTCTAGTAATGGCCAGAACCTTCCTGAAGACTGTGGACCTCCCCCTGTTAGAATATAAAGCTGAGACACTCCCACTGCTGGGACAGAAAGCTAAACAAGAGAACCAAGAGCTGAACAAGGATTATTCTCACCAGAAGACTAAGCAACCATGATGGTTTCTAATGCATTGAGATCTGCTCTCAGGCCAATGATGGACTTCTACTGGCCTGTTCGCAGTCTGTGGCCAGAGGTCAGACCTTTGTTCAACCAGCAGGATGTCCTCCAGAGAACCCTACAGGAGCTGCGCAGCAGCCTGGAACTGATGGACAGATTTCAACACCAGATCCTGGAGGACACAAAGCCTTTCAGGAGCACACTGGTCCACAAACCAGTCTCCTACCAGCTGGACAAAGAGGGACAAGACTTTGGCCTGACACTGGACACTCAAGGCTTTTCTCCAGAGGAGCTTTCAGTTCAGCAGGTGGGCAGGAAGCTGAGAGTCCGTGGGAGGACAGAGAAGAAGCAAGAGGACGGGAAAGGCTCCTACTCTTACAGACTCCAGGAGTTCAGACAGGAGTTTGATCTGCCTGAAGGGGTGAACCATGAAGCTGTCAGCTGCTCCCTTTCTCCAGATGGAAAGCTCCACATCCAGGCAGCCAAAGTTCCAAGTGTTGAACAGGCTGAGCGAGAGCTGCCTATCAAGAGGAGCTCGGAGGAGGAAACACAGCAGAGTGTGTGCTCACAGGCAGAAGACAGCCAACCAGAGACATCCAGCAGGTCCTAGAGCTCCAGCCTGGATCATGGACCAATGAACGTGTTGAACACGTGGTTCTATTCTTTGTTCATTATTAATGTGTCTATCACATCATAATGACTTTGTCTTTTCTTATTGTACCTGGTGAATATTGTTGAATAAATAATCTGAACAACAGCTGTGCTAGTTTTTGTCTTTATGTAAAGCTGGAGCTCACTTCTGAACAGGAAATCAAACATTTTAAACAAATCTGACATTCTTGTGTGGAAATCTTTAAAAGATGGAAAATTAATTCATCCAAGAAATAGGTGAAAATATAGAACATTAGTTCCACCCAAAGGCTTGCACTCACTTTAGACCAGGGGTGTCAAACATGCGGCCCGCGGGCCTCATCCGGCCCGCAAACGGGTTAAATCCGGCCCACGAGATGGTTGTGTAAACTTTATTTTCATACTTTACAATGTAGAGTGAAAAATAAACGTATCTTTGTGAGCAAGTTTCCTCTGTAATGAGTATAAATGCAACAAAGCTGCGCTCAAGGCTCACACAAGAACTTGAATCACATCCTGACGTTGGCTGCCACTCAGGATGTGACTTCTAATGTTGATGTGCTGGTAAAAGCTAAAAGATGAAAAGTAAAGTGAGTCAAATATACTTTAAGTGCTGATCTAGCCATGTGATCTGCAAGCTCTTTGAATCACTAAGGAATGTTTATTTATTTATTTTATTATTTTTTTTATTTTTATTTTTCAAATTTTCAAGTACACTTCAGGTGTTGTACTTGTACTATTTTGGATACACTGTCCTCAGGCTCCAGCCTTGTTTTATATTGATTGTAATAAAACAAAGAAAACAATCTGAAGTTGTTTTTAATTTACCGGTCCGGCCCACTTGGGACTAGATTTCCCTCAATGTGGCCCCTGAGCTAAAATGAGTTTGACACCCCTGCTTTAGACCCAATTGTGTTTATTATTTTTTTCTGAGGTCAAATTAGACATCATCATCATATTCATCAGAATAAATGTAATCAGAATGTATTTGTGCTTTCAGTTGAGAGATACCTGATTACACACGTAACTACTCCACACACACAGCAAAGGTGTCAAGTAACAAAAAATAAAGCTGTCATGTAACAAAAAATACTTAGTTACTTTACTTTAGAAATGTGGAATATCTTTACTTCCCTGGAGTAATTATCTAATGGTTGACTTTGTCCTTCTATTCAGGACATTTTAAAAACAACCGCATGACTATCATTTCATTTCAGCTTGTTACTGATAGAGAAAACACAAAGACAGACAATCAGATAAAGAAATCCATCCAGATAGAGTCAGTCTGATTGAGTTTGGTTAATACGATACTGAGATTGCCATTCCAGAATGTTCTACTTGTACCTCTACATGAATACCTTAGTAAGTGTTGAGCATTGTTTAGGGTTGTTGACCTGTTGAAAGATCCAGCCCCAGAGCAGCTTCAGCTTTGTCACTGATTCCTCCTGGACATTGGTCTCAAAAATCTGCTGATACTGAGTAGAATCCATGGGTCCCTCAACTTTAACAAGATTCCCAGCCCCTGCACTGGCCACACAGCCCCACAGCATGATTGAACCATCACCATGTTTTACTGTAGGCAGCAGGTGTTTATCTTGGAATGCTGTGTTCTTTTTCCTCCATACACCTGTTGACACCACAGGGGCGGGACTGTCTTTTACACCTGTTGAGTCTCACTGTGATGATGAAGGATTTATTTTTACCATTTTTTGGATAATGATTGCAGCCTTTTTATGAACTTCGATTAAAGTTTTAAGTACACATACAATATGAATTGAATATTTTCATATCATAAGAACGTTAGGTGTGGGTGTAGCAAAATTTCAACTTTGTCCGACACATCGGGCGGGCGGCACCGCCGCGGCCGTGGCGGGGAGTGAGAACTGCCTAAACACAGCATGACATCTTATGGCGTCTCTTTCTTGTTTACGCTGCAGCGTATTCTATCCAGGCATCACGCAGCAGCAGCACATTTACTGAGCTACAATCTCAACATCTAGAACCAGGTGAGTAAGTTACTTGTTAGGCTATTTGTAATCAGCAGTAGAAACGGACTTTTTCAAATTTAACAGCTTATCACATATATTGATATGCAAAATTAATTTATTTGAATCCACACCAGACACTTGTTTTTGGCACAATCAGTGCAGCAATGATTTAGCATTGAGAATATAAATAATGAGAACATACACATCTGAAATTGTCTCCTTAAGATGTTATTGTCAATTAGGCTGTAAATTTGTTTAAAAAAAAAGATGGACATTAGTTTTGTGACATAGTGAGTCATCTTCAAGGCATAAAGGTTTATGCCCTGAAGAAGGTCGTACCGAAACACGTCAGCGTTTCCTTGTTAAATAAATGAAATCCTCAGAGTGCCTCAGATCACCGGATCTTCTTCCTCATATTCTACAATTTATTTGATGCTGAAGAGTACCTGAGAGTGAGACATACGTTTTTTCAAATATTCCCCATGGATGCGCTCACTTCCACCTGTTTTTGATCATTTTATTCGTGTTTTCATAGAACAGATTAAAAAAAGATCAATAAAATAAAAAGTCCAGTAACATTAAAAATAATGAAAAGCATCACTGCACATGACTGAGGAATACTGAATGTGAAAGTGGCACTGTTCTTAAGTAATTCATGCATCAGAAGGTTAAGTTGGTGTGTGTGTGTGTGTGTGTGTGTGTGTGTGTGTGTGTGTGTGTGTGTGTGTGTGTGTGTGTGTGTGTGTGTGTGTGTGTGTGTGTGTGTGTGTGTGTGTGTGTGTGTGTGTGTAAGTATTTTCTCACAGAAGAACCCAACACCAGCAGACTCAGTGCTCCAATCCAACAGCCTGAAGAGACACCATCATCTGCTTCAACAGATGTCTATGAACATGTATGAGCTGCTGGCCCCATGGATCCTGCTGACTGGCCACAGCAGTTGAACAAAATGGAAAGTAGAACTTTCTTTATGATGACACTGATATTTGAGTTTTGCGTTTTATTGCACAGTTTAATGCTGCTTTTGTTTTTGCATCCCCCCCAATGACATTTGCACAACATTTTGAGTTGTTGGCTATTGTAATATTCTCAGGACACTTATCTTTCAAGTTTACATTTATTCTTCAGGCTGTTGACTTTAAAGAGTTGCTGTGTGAATATTTAAAATAAAAAAATAATAACTAAGGAATAACTGTGGAGTTGCTTTTTCCAATGTGTGGTGGGTGGGTGGACTTGGGTTTGGGAGAGAGGCGTGCAGGCGGGGTGGGGGGGGGGGGGCAAATGGGCAGTCTCGCCTTGGGCACCAAATTACCTAGAGCCGGCCCTGCCAGTACCAGTTAAACTGAGGAGTTATACACTCACACTGCAGAGGAGATGAATGACTTACGGCAGCATTCTGTTTTACATCTGGGATATCTCAGACTGCCTCTGAAGGTGCTGTCCATGGTCTCCACACTGCAATGCAGTGGGTGGGTAGGATTTCTCTGGAAGTCAATCACAATTTGCTTTGTCTTACTGGTGTTCAAACAACGGTGATTACGCTCACACCAGTCAACAAAGTCCATGTACTCCAGGTCATTCCCTTCAGACACAAAACGGACAAAGGCTGAGTCATCAGTAAATTCTGGAGGTGACAGCTGCTGGTGATGTTATAGGTGTAGTCTGGCCATTGTCGGCTGTGTGTCTGAGGGGAATGACCTGGAGTATAGATCTGTCATCATGGATTTTGTGAGCGTAACCACCTTCGCTTAAACTAATTGAACTAAGGTGCTTTATTGCCTGTTGCCTTCACAGATTCTTGCAACTGCTGGATCTACATATTTACATTCCAATAAAGATTATTGAAAGTGTAACTGCTAGTGCTGTGGAATGGCTAAAGCTTTTGTTTCTATTGGCCTTTTTGATTTTTTATGTTACTTTTACTTTTTTACTTTAAATAGTTTTGAAACCAGTACTTTTTTACTTTTACTCGAGGCTGGAAATAATTCTTGAACTTCTGCAATGGTGACAGAAGAGCTAAGTGCACATCCAGTAACTGGAGGATTGCAGGTTCAAGCCCCACCTGTTGAAGTCGATGTGTCCTTGGGCAAGGCACTTAACCTGCCTTGCCTGCTGATGGTGGGCAGAGAGACTGGTGGCACTTGTGTTCAGCAGCCTTGCCCCTCTCGGTGATCTCCAGGGCAGCTGTGGCTACATCGTACTTTATCACCACCATTGTGTGTGTGTGTGTGTGTGTGTGTGTGTGTGTGTGTGTGTGTGTGTGTGTGTGTGTGTGTGTGTGCGTGCGTGCGTGCGTGCGTGCGTGCGTGCGTGCGTGGGTGAATGCCTATGGGGTAAATGACTGTTTGTGTTGTAAGGTGTCTTGGGGGGTTGTAAAAGCTTTGAAGGTGCTATATTAAAAACAGGCCACTAACCATTTCTATTGGTCTTCTACTAAACAACTTCTGTTGAAATGTATTTTCAATTTTCAAACAAACCATCATTAGCTATTCCACACAAGAATGTCAGTTTTGTTTAAAATGTTTTATTTCCTGTACAGAAGTGAGCTTTACATAAAGACAAAAACTAGCACAGATGTTGTTCAGATTATTTATTCATCAATATTCACCAGGTACACTAAGAAAAGACAAAGTCATTATGATGTGATAGAAACATTAATAATTAACAAAAAATAGAACCACGTGTCATCGGTTCACCAACACGTTCATGGGTCCATAATCCAGGCTGGAGCTCTAGGACCTGCTGGATGTCTCTGGGCGGCTGTCTTCTGCCTGTGAACACACACTCTGCTGTGTTTCCTCCTCCGAGCTCCTCTTGATAGTCAGCTCTCGCTCAGCCTGTTCAACACTTGGAACTTTGGCTGCCTGGATGTGGAGCTTTCCATCTGGAGAAAGGGAGCAGCTGACAGCTTCATGGTTCACCCCTTCAGGCAGATCAAACTCCTGTCTGAACTCCTGGAGTCTGTAAGAGTAGGAGCCTTTCCCGTCCTCTTGCTTCTTCTCTGTCCTTCCACGGACTCTCAGCTTCCTGCCCACCTGCTTGACTGAAAGCTCCTCTGGAGAAAAGCCTTGAGTGTCCAGTGTCAGGCCAAAGTCTTGTCCCTCTTTGTCCAGCTGGTAGGAGACTGGTTTGTGGACCAGTGTGCTCCTGAAAGGCTCTGTGTCCTCCAGGATCTGGTGTTGAAATCTGTCCATCAGCTCCAGGCTTCTGCGCAGCTCCTGTAGGGTTCTCTGGAGGACATCCTGCTGGTAGAACAAAGGTCTGACCTCTGGCCACAGACTGCGAACAGGCCAGTAGACGTCCATCATTGGCCTGAGAGCAGATCTCTCTGCATAAGACATCGTGGTTGTAGAGTTTAGTCTTCTGGTGAGAATAATCCTTGTTCAGCTCTTAATTCTCTTTTGTTTAGCTTTCTGTTTCAGCAGTGGGAGTGTCTCAGCTTTATATTCTAACAGGAGGAGGTCCACAGTCTTCAGGAAGGTTCTGGTCAATACTAGACATGTCCAGCAGGTGGTGTTGTTTCATAATAAGGTTCAATGAGTCTGTTAATCACAATTACATCCAACGAAACTGCTTTTAAATATTTTACTTTTAATTCGTACTTTAAGTATAATACAACACAATGACAACTTTTGTTTCTAGTTTTCACAGGTGTCTGAGCTTGGTCTGCATTGCTGGCAGAAAGTTGAGCTCATTTCTGGTGAGGGTTGGACTCCATCAAGGCTGCCCTGTGTCACCGATTCTGTTCATAACTTTTATGTACAGGATTTCTAGGTGCAGCCAAGGAGTTGAGGAGATCTGTTTTGGTGGCCTAAGGATTGAGTCTCTCTGCTTTTTGCAGATGATGGGTCCTGTTAGCTTCATCAGAACGTGTTCTACAGCTTTTGCTGGAGCTATTCACAGTGAGTGTGAAGCAGCTGGGATGAGAATCAGCTCCTCTAAATCCGAGGCCACGGTTTTGAGTCTGAATACTGTAGAATGCCTTCTCCGGGACAGAGATGAGGTCCTGCCCAAGTGGAGGAGTTTATATATTATGGGGTCTTGCTCATGAGTGAGGGAAAGATGGAGCGTGAGCTCAACAGGCAGATTGGTGCTGCATCAGTGATGCAGGCGCTTCACTGCTCTCAATTTACTGGGTGATCTACATTACACACCCTGCAATACACTCATTTGGGTAGTGACTGAAAGAGTGAGATCGCGGATACAAGCGGACGAAATAAGTTCTCTCCGCAGGGTGGCTGAGCTCTCCCTTAGAGATAGGTTGATAAGCTCGACCATCTGGGAGGGACTCGGAGTATACCACTGCTCCTCCACATCGAGAGGAGCCAGTTGAGGTGGCTCAGGCATCTATGCCTCCTGGACGTCTCCCTGGGGAGGTTTACCGGGCACGTCCAAACGGGAAGAGAACTAAAGGAAGACCCAGGACACACTGGACGGACTATGTCTCTCGGCTGGCCAGGAAACGCCTTGGGATTCCGCCAGAGGAGCTGGTCGAAGTGGCTAGGAAGAGGACATTCTCGGCCTATCAGCTTAGGCTGGTGCCCATGTAACCCAACTCCGGATAAGCAGCGGAAAATGAATGAATTAATGAATGGATGAATGGATGGATGGATGGATGGATGGAGAGATCATATTTATGTATTAGATTTTTTTCCCCCTCACAAATCCTTTAATGTAGGCCATGCCCACATGCTCTTTTAAACAAGGATTATGATTGCTCTTGAAGAATTCTCCTCAGTAGTTTTGGTTAGTATGAAAATGTTTTATCGAACGCTTGTTGTTTTCTCTGAAATTATCACTCTTTGGATTGATGTTTGGTTTTCATAGTTACATGTTTTTGGGAGTTTTATTTATTTATTTGCTTAATTGTGATGAACATTTAGAACATTATTCTGGTCAGAATCACAGAAAGTCCAATCAAATTTTGTTTATTTGACTTTTCATTTTTCAACTTTGTAAAATCTAAAGAGAAAGTCTGTAGTTCTTTATTTTGAAGGACATTTATGATAAAATATATTTGCTCCCTAATTTTTTGTTCATTCATGTATTTTATCTAGTAAGACATCAGATGTGATTCATTCTAAATGAATCTGAACACAAATTTTTGTGTGTGTAGCAAAGGTGTTAAAAGTATTAATTTAAAAGTAAAATATTTTCAATTGTTATCCATGGAAATAATTATGATTAACAGACTCATTGAACCTTATTGTGAAACAGCACCACCTGGTGGACATGTCTAGTAATTACCAGAACCTTCCTGAAGACTGTGGACCTCCTCCTGTTAGAATATAAAGCTGAGACACTCCCAGTGCTGGGACAGAAAGCTAAACAGAAGAGAACTAAGAGCTGAACAAGGATTATTCTCACCAGAAGACTAACTCATCAACCACGATGTCTTATGCAGAGAGATCTGCTCTCAGGCCAATGATGGACCTCTACTGCCCTGTTCGCAGTCTGTGGCCAGAGGTCAAACCTTTGTTCTACCCGCAAGATGTCCTCCAGAGAACCCTACAGGAGCTGCGCAGCAGCCTGGAGCTGATGGACAGATTTCAACACCAGATCCTGGAGGACACAGAACCTTTCAGGAGCACACTGGTCCACAAACCAGTCTCCTACCAGCTGGACAAAGATGGACAAGACTTTGGCCTGACACTGGACACTCAAGGCTTTTCTCCAGAGGAGCTTTCAGTCAAGCAGGTGGGCAGGAAGCTGAGAGTCCGTGGGAGGACAGAGAAGAAGCAAGAGGACGGGAAAGGCTCCTACTCTTACAGACTCCAGGAGTTCAGACAGGAGTTTGATCTGCCTGAAGGGGTGAACCATGAAGCTGTCAGCTGCTCCCTTTCTCCAGATGGAAAGCTCCACATCCAGGCAGCCAAAGTTCCAAGTGTTGAACAGGCTGAGCGAGAGCTGACTATCAAGAGGAGCTCGGAGGAGGAAACACAGCAGAGTGTGTGTTCATAGGCAGAAGACAGCCAACCAGAGACATCCAGCAGGTCCTAGAGCTCCAGCCTGGATCATGGACCCATGAACGTGTTGGTTAACCGATGACAAGTGGTTCTATTCTTTGTTAATTATTAATGTTTCTATCACATCATAATGACTTTGTCATTTCTTATTGTACCTGCAGGGTGTCCGCGGGGTTTTAAAAAGTATTAAAAAGTGATAAATAAAAATAGTCAAATTTAAGGCCATTAAAAGTGTTAAATTTGGTCACAGAGGTATTATTTTTTCCAAATTAGGTATTAATTTTTTCGGACTATCAGGGGTCGTATTCTGAACATCGACATAGAAATATATTCCGAATGAAATGTTATGAACGATTATAAAAACTAAACAAGCCGATTATGTGCTCCTCCCACTTACGCTGCCCTGAGTTGCAAATGAAGCGCTCCTCACAGTGTTGCCAACTTAGCGACTTTGACGCTATTTCCAACAGCTTTTCAGACCCCTTCTTGACTTTTTAAATCTTAAAAGTACCTAGCGAACACCTCAGAAACATCTCTGGTAACCCTTAGCTACTTTCTGGATAACTGTCGTCGACGTTTCCTGCAGGTTAGCTAAACACTCCGCCTGCTCTGCGGACCGTTCTTCAGGACATTAGGAAAGGGAATGATAGTCGCTAAAGACAGCTCTCGGAGCCGGCTTCTTGTTGGATTAACCAGAGTGAGTGACACACACACCGTACCTGCGGACTCCTGAGCCGCTAAAAACGGCTAAATGTGCGTGTGCGGCGCGTGCGCGTGCAGCTTGCCCCCGATTGCTGTGAGACCGGGTTGGGGGGTGGGGGGTGCAGCTGTGGTTGTGACAATTATTACATTAACTGATGGACGACTTGTAAATAAATAGTTTATAAATAAGGTAGAAATGAGTTCCTCACGCTGATAACTAATAACTAACCTCTCTGAGGACACGGTGCTAGTGCACTCTCCTAGAGCACCTTGACAGGACTCAATAAATGTTATGCAAAATTTTGTGAACATCAATTTGCATGTATTTGTTATAAATGCCACTGTATAATTCTTGTTGTCAGTATTTGCAAGATATTGGTATTTGGGTCTGTACTGGTTAGACTTAAATGAGTTAAACCAAGGTCTATAGCCCTTGGGTTATAAACTATGAGCTATAAGTATGTGGCAGTGTGAGTGTCCTGTCACAGTGTCCCGATAGATTATGCGTCCTGGCTACTTGGCCAAGGGGATGTCTCTTTGGCTGACTGGTTAGAGAGTATGACTCTCACCTGGGAGTCTGGGGATCGAATCCTGCCTGGGCTCTCATTTATCCACCTTGCCACAAGTACATTGGTCTTTTTATACTGGGAATCGGGAGTTATTTTAGTGATCATCTTGCTTCTTGTTTATTTTTGCCCTGATTGTGCCCTGAGCAGTTTTATGACTGAATAAAAACAAAAACAAAAATCTACATGAATTGAAAAATCGTCTTAAAAAATCGAGATCTCAATTTCAGTCACAATAATCGTGATTATTGTTTTTGCCATAATCGAGCAGCCCTACTTTAGCATATCCGGTCACATAATGATGACGTCATATTCAGCGGTCGTTCTGCATCATTTCAGGCCTCGTGGTCAACTGTCTGAACCGCTGAACAGAAGTGCCTGGCTTATCTTCTAAGTAAAATAAATATGTGCAATACGTTGTCAACATCAGTGAGTCTCTAAGTCTATTCTTTTTGTATGTTATATATGTTAAAATATGTGTAAATAGGTCGCTGATTAACACTTGCAATTAAGTGTTGTGATGGTTTTAAAAAAATTCTGAAGGTAGTAAAAAAAAGTATTAAAAAGTAGTAAATTTTACTTAAGGATTGCTGTATATACCCTGACCTGGTGGATATTGATGAATAAATAATCTACTTCCCTGGAGTAATTATCTAATGGTTGACTTTGTCCTTCTATTCATGACATTTTAAAAACAACTGCATGACTATCATTTTATTTCAGCTTGTTACTGATAGAGAAAACACAAAGACAGACAATCAGATAAATAAATCCATCCACATAGAGTCAGTCTGACAGGGTATATACAGCAATCCTTAAGTAAAATTTACTACTTTTTAATACTTTTTTTTACTACCTTCAGAATTTTTTTAAAACCATCACAACACTAAATTGCAAGTGTTAATCAGCGACGTATTTACACATATTTTAACATATATAACATACAAAAAGAATAGACTTAGAGACTCACTGATGTTGACAACGTATTGCACATATTTATTTTACTTAGAAAATAAGCCAGGCAACCTCTCCTCCTAAAGATAAAAACAAATTTGGATAAGTGGGGAAAATTGAATCTTACGCTATGGGGTAAAATTAATGTGATTAAAATGATGGTGGCCCCACAGTTCAATTATGTTTCCATGATGTTACCTGTGAGAATTCCTTTACATATATTTAGTGAATTTGAGAAGTTAATTAAAGATTTTTTGTGGAATAACAAAAAGCCAAGAGTGAATATAAAGAAAATGTGGGCCTCTAAAGACATTGGGGGAATGGCCCTGCCAAATGTGAAGTTGTATAATTTAGCTTTTGAAATGTCAAGACTGGCCAAGCACTGGACAGGTTCGGACCCTGAGCTGAGCTGGATGAAGATCGAACAGGAACTAGTGAGCCCTTTTACACCCTTGGATGTTCTCTCACAGGGCTCAGCAAGTAATGGACAAGACTTTTATGATAACCCAGTGCTCGGGTATTCAAAAGCTGTCTGGGTAGAGGTGCATAAGATGTGTGGAGCATCTCACTTAAGACAACCTTACACCTCACTATGGAACAACACTGCTGTACAGATTGGGCGAAAAACAGTGTTTTGGAAGGAATGGCTTGTCAAAGGTATACACAGGATAAGTGATCTTTACTCAGGGGGAGTGTTTATGTCATTCGCTGAAATAATCCAAAAATATGGTTTGATAAGAGAAAAGAATTTTTGGAAGTATTTACAAATAAGGGACTGTATTACCAAAGGAAAATTTAGTCAAAGCTCAAGTATGATGGTGGAGTTTTTAGAATTGTCCAGTACAGCACATAGAGCAGCTGTTTTCTACAAACTGTTTAACAATCCAAAGAAAGAGATATGTGAAAACTTGAGGATTATATGGCAGAGGGATTTGAGTTGTGCAATTTCTAAAGAAAATTGGGGTAGAATTTTGTCATTCTCGGATAAATATATAAGAGAGGTCAGGGGTAAATTTATTCAGTACAAATTAATACACAGGTGGTACTTCACTCCGTCCAAACTTTATAGAATGGGAATCAGTACCAGTAATAAATGTTGGAAATGTAGTTCAGATCCAGGGACATTTCTGCATGCTATTTGGGAATGTGGGAAAGTTTATCCCTTTTGGCAAAAAGTATTGAACAAAATAGGTAGGTGGATTAGTATGATAATACCCTTGTCACCAAGATTGTGTTTATTAGGGGATCGGTCGGTGTTGCCTGGGGTTTCAAAATATGATTTTGTGGTTATAAAGGTGGGGGTGATTGCAGCGGCCCGAGTTATCCTCAGTGTATGGAAGCAACCATCTCCTCCAGAATATAATAGGTGGGAAGAAAATATGCTGAAAATGGTGGCATATGAAAATTTTTTGGCTAGGATTAATGATGATAGGGAGGGTTTTGACAAATCATGGGGACGGGTTTTTGGCTAAGACGGTTGGAATTTATTTGGTTGGAGCGATCATCTTCAGTTTAATCTTATGCGTACTGCGTTGCATTTTAGTAGGTATTGAAAACAGACCAAAAATACAAAGGTGAATTTATCATGGAATTGGAAGCTGTCCTTTTTATTTTATTTCATTTCATTTTTTTCTGTTGTTGTTTTGTTTTTGACTGTTCTGTTTTCGTTTCTATGTTCTCATGTGGTTAAAAGTAAATAAAGACTTCAATTACAAAAAAGAAAATAAGCCAGGCACTTCTGTTCAGCGGTTCAGACAGTTGACCACGAGGCCTGAAATGATGCAGAACGACCACTGAATATGACGTCATCATTATGTGACCGGATTTGCTAAAGTAGGGCTGCTCGATTATGGCAAAAACAATAATCACGATTATTGTGACTGAAATTGAGATCTCGATTATTTAAGACGATTTTTCAATTTATGTAGATTTTTATTTTTTTATTTTTATTCAGTCATAAAACTGCTCAGGGCACAATCAGGGCAAAAATAAACAAGAAACAAGATGATCACTAAAATAACTCCTGATTCCCAGTATAAAAAGACCGATATACTTATAGCTCATAGTCTATGACCCAAGGGCTATAGACCTTGGTTTAACTCATTTAAGTCTAACCAGTACAGACCCAAATACCAATATCTTGCTAATACTGACAGCAAGAATTATACAGTGGCATTTATAACAAATACATGCAAATTACTGTTCACTAAATGTTGCATAGCATTTATTGAGTCGTGTCAAGGTGCTGTAGGAGCATGCACTAGCACCGTGTCCTCAGAGAGATTAGTTATTATTTATCAGCGTGAGGAACTTATTTCTACCTTATTTATAAACTATTTATTTACAAGTCCATCAGTTAATGTAATAATTGTCCCAACCACAGCTGCACCCCCCACCCCCAACCCGGTCTCACAGCAATCAGGGGCAAGCTGCACGTGTGTTTAGCGCGCCGCACGCGCACATTTAGCCGTTTTTATCGGCTCAGGAGTCCGCAGGTGCGGTGTGTGTGTCACTCACTCTGGTTACTCCAACAGGGAGCCGGCTCCGAGAGCTGTCTTTAGCGACCGACACATCACTACATCATTCCCTTTCCTAATGTCCTGAAGAACGGTCCGGAGTGCAGGCGGAGTGTTTAGCTAACCTGCAGGAAATGTCGACGACAGTTATCCAGAAAGTAGCTAAGGGTTATCAGAGATGTTTCTGAGGTGTTCGCTAGGTACTTTTAAGATTTAAAAAGTCATGAAGGGGGTCTGAAAAGCTGCTAGAAATAGCGTCAAAGTCGCTAAGTTAACTTAGCAACACTGGGAGGAGCGCTTCATTTGTAACTCAAGGCAGCGCAAGCGGGAGGAGCAAATAATCGGCTTGTTTTGTTTTTATAATCGTTCAAAACATTTCATTCGGAATATATTTCTATGTCGATGTTCAGAATACGACATCTGATAGTCTGAAAAAAATAATACCTAATTTGGAAAAAATAATACCTCTGAGACCAAATTTAACACTTTTAATGGCCTTAAATTTGACTTTTTATTTATCACTTTTTAATACTTTTTAAAACCCCGCGGACACCCTGGTCTGATTGCTTTGTGGTCACGTGGGTCTGAGGCGGCGGTCGTGTGGGTCTGATGCTCATTAATTATACAGAATTGTAGGCATTTAATACACTTAAACAGAAGAATGAGAAAAAAATTCACCCCCCTCAGAGTTGTCATGAGTGTAAACTATATAATTTAAACCAAAAACATGTTTTTGTACCAGCCAGGCTGTAAACATGTTTATTTCTGCTGTGAAATTGGTATTTTTAACATGAGAATCAAAGAGAATTTGCTCGTTTCTGACACCAGCCCCCAGCGGATGAGGGTGGAACTGCAATTTATTTCACTTCCGTGTTTGCCTCATTTTTGACCGCATTGCGGGGGCTTGGTCGTGTCACAGTGGTTATGATGCAGAGGGACAAAATTGTTTAATTTCAGGTTTATCATTTTTAAGATTTGAAAATATGACAATCTTTAAATGTACAATTGGCATACAGATAAAAAAAAATGAATGCATGCAGTAAAATACCGTAAATCCTCTAATACAGGCCCCGGCCTGTATTTGACTAAAGCTCATCAAGCTCCAGGCCTTTATTGGAAGGAGGACCAGAATTAGAGGCAGGCCTCAATTTCTATTTGAGCAAAATGAACTAATGGTTCGCTGGAGTTTTTTACAATTAAAATTGCGCCCACATTTTCAAAGTTAAACACATTTCTTTTAACAACGGTAGTTTCTGCTTCAGCCCTCCCCCTGCGCAGCGGCTGCAAACTCACTGATGCGCCTGCAGCCTCTCAGAGTTCCTGCTGCTCTAAACATTAAAATGATTATTTCATTTTCTGTTCCTCACTTCTGATTACCTTCAATGGTGTCTGTTGCAACCACCAGGTACAAAAACTAACTTGTTTTTATTTGACTATTTTTCTGTCCTGCCTGTTTATTATCTTCCTGCATCTCCTCTCAATCCTAAAGAGAAACTGCTACCTGGGTTCATATATATTCACCTTATGAGTTACCTTTGAACTGCAGTTCTAGATGTGCGGAGTGCGAGCCGGCCACATCAGTTAGGTGTGTCACCGAGGACAAAACAGGTGATGCGCCCCGATCCACAGCAGCATCAGGCACAAATAAAAGAATAAAAGACAGAAAACATAAAAGGAAATGAGCCGACATGAACGATTGCGTGTTAAATTATTTTTTGAGGTGGCGAAACCTGATTTGATAATGTTACTGTGGCCGTGCTCAGGACGCAGATGTCTGGAGCGCGTCAACAATCAGAGCTTTGCATGCGCAAGCTGGTTAAGGTTAGGATGGGGGTGAGGGGAATGTTAAATTGCAAGAGGGTGAACGTCACAATTTGGTTAAATGTCCGTTTTACGGCAGGTATCAGTACCGACGCTCTGGCACAGCGCGTTGCCTCCCGACGCGCAGGAGCTTGTCACCTGCTGACAGCAGGCTGCTATCTTTTCCGTGGACTGCATCTTGCCGGTCATTATCACGTGACGGCGACTAGCCGATGACAGGCATAAAGTCACTATAGAGGGGTGATGTTGACTAGTTGACTAGTTCATACAACCCCTGCTACTGCTCCCCAGTGTTCTGCGGCATAATCAGCACATTCTCTTTGAACTTGATATCAAATTTTTACCTCCTTTTCGTCTCCGCACGGTTAAAGTTACCCTCGCGGTCTATCACTGGCAAATCAAAAGTGAGACAGATGACACAACCGCCCCCGTACTTGCTTGTTACCACATTCCACCATACCACAATAAAAAAAACGGCCATTATTCACCTCCGCCGACACCGGCCAAAATATGATACCGGGCAGTTAATTAAATACAGGCCAATATTAGAGGATTACGGTAAAATACATTTTTATTAAATAGTCATTGTACAAGCACTAAGCCGCACTGAGATGGATGAAAGAGCTTTGAACGTGTTTCCAAATTTTGATGCTCCTTTTGTTCCATGACTTCCATCTCGTTGCCTTTTGCATATATTAAAAAAAATCCACTTAGTTCTTTGTTATAATTTATGTTGTCCTAATAAGCAGACTCAAAAACATGAACTGTTCCACCACTATTTTAAAAAGAAAAAAATGACAGTGTATAAAATGGATAGTTTTCCTTTAAAATCACATGAGTGGTAGTTACATGGACAGAGCAGCAAACTAGGTTTGAGGGATACTGTAGATTTTGTTTTGCACTGTAGGCAACCGACTTTGACTCAAATGAATTAAAAAAATGTTTTTGGTGAGTCAATTCAGTAAAAAGAATCAAGTCAACATCAAGGATTTAGTCCAATTTACAGAAGTGGAAAATCTTTGTGATTAGGTACATGAAATAGTGATGCACTTAAGTACAAGAGACCCAAATTATAAACAAATACAAAAGATGCAATTAAAAATAATGAAAAAGACAGTTACACCAGTGTTTTCAGTCCACTTCTTTAACATCATATTGCACTGACATAGGTACTAGTTGGTTCTGAAACACAGCTTCAGGATTATCAGCCACAATCAATAACCGCCTGACGGAAGTACTAAAGGACACTTTAACTTTCATTTCACGTCAAACTTGAATCAACAGGGTTAGGGTTGGCGTTTCTATGTGATACTAGGATTATTTCTCATTAGAAAATGTGGATGGCTCTTAAAAGAGCCTTTGGGTTTGTGACGTTAATTAAGAGTTTACTTGGAGCTGGTGTACTTGGTAACAGCCTTGGTGCCCTCAGAAACGGCGTGTTTAGCCAGCTCACCGGGCAGCAGGAGGCGGACAGCGGTCTGAATCTCCCTGGAGGTGATGGTGGAGCGCTTGTTGTAGTGCGCCAGACGAGAAGCCTCAGAAGCGATGCGTTCAAAGATGTCGTTAACGAACGAGTTCATGATGCTCATGGCCTTGGACGAGATGCCAGTGTCGGGGTGGACCTGCTTCAGCACCTTGTACACGTAGATGGCATAGCTCTCCTTCCTGGTCCTCTTCCTCTTCTTTCCTCCCTTGCCAGCGGTTTTGGTAACCGCTTTCTTGGAGCCCTTCTTGGGCGCAGACTTGGCAGGTTCAGGCATTTCGTTTACGATTGCAGAATAGACGACAGTACCGCTGAACGCTAGGGAGACTTCTTTATACAAATTTCAGGCTAATTTTCCTGCTCCATCTCCCGTCTCTGATTGGTTGAATACATCAGCTGGGCAAAGGAGGCGGGATTTGTTTAATCTAAACAGCGGCTCCTGGTGACATTGGCATTTTTTGTAGAAATGTTCAGTAATATGACATTTTAAACACACAGAAATCGCTAATATGTTTCTGTTCAGTCCCAGACCCTACCTGAAATCTATGCAGCAATGCCAGATTTTCGTAGCGTACAGAAATTAGATCATAAATGAAAAAATACTTAAAAAATCTATTGACATTTAAGGAGCATTTCCTTTAAACAGCATTATATATTATATATACTTTAAAGTAATTGTTCTGTTCTGTTATGATTAATTTCCCAAACAATGAAACAAAAATTCTCATAAAATGAAAAAAGCTGAAGATAGTTTAAATGAAATACAAATTATTTTTGATGACAAAATAAAAAATTTAAACAGGTCGAACTAAAGTACAAAAATTTACAAACAGAATCCAATCTGCATTTAATTTTTGAAACCCCGCCACGGGTCTCAGCCAGCGCGGACCTCCCTGTCCCGGTATCGACCGAAGTGGGCTAAAGAAGTCTCGTCTTTTCAGCTGCACAAAACACCCTCAGGCATGAAGATAGAGGCATTGTTTCTCTTATTTGGAAACCCGTGGACTCGATGTACAGACAGGCTGGAGTTTGTACAGCCTTCACAAACAATGGTTTATCAAAATGAACATGATCCAAAACTAGTACACACACACACTGACTCGGTAACACAAACTCTCTACCCTAAAACTACACACTCTCTACAATGAGCTGAGGCAGTGCCTAGCTTCTTTGGTTACGTCAGTGGTTAAGATTTAGAAAAACAGAGCATTTTTAGAAGCTTTGCTGAAAAAGGACACTTTTTACTTGAAAAACTGCAATGCTATGTATTTTAAAATGAAACATGAATTAGAAAAAAAATTGACCTGCAATTTGCTCGTTGACATCTGTCCCACCCATGATGAATTTTTAATGAATATTTTCATATAATGAATTGACAAAACTTCTTTATTGTGACTGTAATGAATTAATGTACAGTTAAATTGTTTGACTGCATGTATAGTCAAGACGCTTTAATAAACAAAAATTCTACAATTTGTGATAAGAGTGTAACGCAATAAAGCACTTTAAAATTACAATAGCAAGGTTCTAAGTGTGGTCCATTAACAACCCTGCACCATAGGACAAGTGCACCTTAAAGTAATTGGTTAAAGGCAAACATTTTTTGAATGTCATGTGTAAAACAGTAATAAAATCTCAGCTGAAAAAGGTTTTGGGATTTTCTAGAAAATCCAATGTCTTTAAATAGCGCTCTCAAACAAGGGATAGTTTCCACTGGAGCTTTTGACAAGTGATTAAAAATTGTGCCCACATTTTTAAAGCTAATACAAGTTTCTTTTAACAATGGTAGTTTTTGCATCTTTACTGTTCCCCTGCTTCAGCCCTCTCCCCCTCCCCCGTGCAGCAGCCTCAAACTCAGTGGTGCGCCTGTAGGCTCTCAGAGTTCCCCGCTGTTCTAAACATTGAAAGAATAATTTAATTTTCTGTTCATCACTTCTGTGGCAATGATTACCTTCAATGGTGTCTGTTTCAACCACCAGGTACAAAAACAGTTTTTTTATTTGACTATTTTTCTGTCCTATCTCTGTCTATTATCCTGCATCTCCTCTCAATCCTAAAGAAAAACTGCTACCTGTGCCCTTTGACTTTCAAATAAATCAGCAAGAGAGTTTTGACAGGTGCAGACCTTTTATTAATATCTCTTCTTTGCTACTTTGTCTCATCATGAACATCATGGGAACAATGAGCACCGGCATTGTTTCTTCACCAATGATCGCAGTATGTCTCGTTTAATCTGCATGAATCTAATATGCATGGGGTTGTCAGAGGAGTTCCTCAGGGTTCCCCTCTGGGGCCATTGCTATTTTCTATTTTTATTAAGCTGCAACCCCTGTTCTGTTCATTTGTATGCCTATGGTGCAGTTTCATATTCCACTAAGCCAAATAATTTAGAATTGCACGAGATCCTGCAATCAAATATTTTAATAATGTGCAGTACTAATTAACTCAAAGTAAACTCATCCCTAATACATCTAAAACATAATCAATATTGTTTAGAAGATATTTTTCTACAATTGGGGCAATTGGGAATCTGTAACTGCATATTTTGGACCGCTCTGAAGTACTTTCCACTGAGAAATTAAAATACTTAGAAGTTTGGATTGAGCCAGATGTATCATTCAAAAATCATGTCCAGGCAGTTTCTCATAAAATTACTAGTTGTTTACGAACACTGTACTGTTCTATCATTTGTTTTGACCTTTCAGTACAACATATTGCAAATCAGCTTCTGCTTCCTAGTTTTGATTATGCAGATATAATCTATCAGAACTCTTCCTCTACATGCCTTCATTCCTGGATGTTATCTACAACGGTGTTTGTCGTTTTGTTTTACGTTTTCCGTTCAGAACCCATCATTATCAAACGTAAGAACGCCTTTCATGATACTCACTGAAAGCTAGACATAAACAACATTGGTTGTTTTCTACTTTTAAATGTACTCAGATTTTCCTTATTTGAAAGTCTTGTTAGTTCCTGTGATCCCTGAGCATAAAACTTGATCTAATAATCATGTCATTTTTTATTACCCAGTTTAGAAAATAAGTGGGGAGACATGCCATTTGTGTTAAGCTCCCTCTGACTGGAATAAGTCCGAGGTCCATTTCTTCAATTTGTCTGTTTAGAAATCATCTTTACCAGCATTTATTAGTGATGTGATGTTGACGAACGAATCAAATGTTTTGAAAGGATTTTCAAAATGAATGATGAGATTCGAGTCCCTGCAAAGCCGTTCATCTTAACAAACCTCCCTGGAAGTCGGTCGATGTCACCCCCCGAAACTCCACCCACTGCTGTGACCACAGATGGATTTTTAGAGCTACAATTGTAATTTCCACACTTTGTCAACATTAATATTTAATATTAGTATAAAGTCAGACTTGTGTATATTTCTTTAATTTTTATAATACAGTGTTTACGCCAAAAGCAATTTAATTTTTAAAGGGAAATAGACAATTCCTCATCATTCAAAAGTTAGTGGCCCTGAAAAGGGCCTTTTTGGGTATGACTCAAAGTTACGCTTTAACCTCCGAAACCGTAAAGAGTGCGTCCTTGCCTCTTCAGAGCGTAAACTACATCCATGGCGGTTACAGTCTTCCTCTTGGCATGCTCGGTGTAGGTGACTGCATCACGGATGACGTTCTCCAGAAACACCTTGAGCACCCCGCGGGTCTCTTCATAGATGAGGCCGGAGATACGTTTGACTCCACCACGGCGAGCCAGACGGCGGATGGCAGGCTTGGTGATACCCTGGATGTTATCACGGAGAACCTTACGATGACGCTTGGCGCCTCCTTTTCCGAGTCCCTTGCCTCCCTTGCCTCTTCCAGACATGACTATGAGAGTTGTGGTTTATCGAATGGTAATGAAGTTGAGGCTCAAGAGCATTTATGTCACACTACAGGACGTGTTAGAGAACAGAAGCATCTGCTGACTTTTTTCCTGTTTTGTTGTAGCGCCATCAAGTGGTCTTAATAGGATTCATTAACACATTTATGTATGTTGAAACTTTTTTTTTCTGTAGATTGGCTAACAACGCAGGGTTTTTGTAGACTATGTTATACCGTCTATATAAATAACGTAGATCAATGTTTAATTAATTAGAACAATATTTTTGTAAACTGTAGTTAGGGGATTTCAGAATACTTCCAAAACTGTGCATGTGTCTAGTTTCATTTACAATGTTACTTTGTACTAATAATTATGTAACATATTAATGACTTCCTGTACATTGAAACTTTGTATCTGTTGAACACTACCATGTATTCAGGATTTCAGATCTTCTGTAGTAATCATTCTTCTAAGAATTTATGTGTAAGATTTCCTGAAATTTAGGGTGTATGCACATTTCTGACCTCCACTCTTCTTTATTGGTTTCCAAAAATAGATGAACAATTGACATTATGAATGAATAAATGAGACTGTTTAAACATGTGTGTTTGTGACTTCAAAAGTTAAACAAAGATCAATGAACCAGGTAATTATACAGAAAAGTCATATTTAGAGCAGAACAAAATAACAATAAAGCTGTTCTGTTCTATTCCACTCTAATTGTGCTCAGAGCTACTTTATTTTTTTTTTAACTTTCAGAAATCAAATACAAGATTCACAAACTCTGTTTTACAGATTCCATTAGTCGAATACTCTGGTCTAGCTTTAGTTAGAGCAGAAATGCTCTAAAAATGCTCAGGGACTGGAAAAAGTGTTTGGAGTAGCCCTTTCAGAATGGGGAACAAAAATGCAACAAACTTCAGCTTTTGTCATGCAAGCTGATGATGTGGAATGACCTTTTTACATTTTTATTGACTGAGAAAATTAACGAATGTAGCTTTAAAGGTACTGAGGTGTATTAATAAACATACACAAGTCATGTTTTAGATTAAGTAGAAACATAATTGCTGGAATGTTACTAGTGCAACAATGTTTATTTTGTTAAAGTCAATGTTTGAAACGAACCTACTGAGTTATAATATATTAGCCTGGCAAGCCCTTTGCATAGCAAGAATTTGGGATAGTTCACTAGGATAATAATATATTATATACGTTTTTAATTCTTTTTTACAGAAGTTTCACCTTAAAATTTGAGGTCTGCATCATGGACGTCACTAGGATTGAGATATAGGGGGCGCGTAGCCCCAGGAGCTTGACCTTGAACATTTTTTGTCACGCCCTGCAAAAACTTTGTCAATTAATTCATTATATGAAGAACATTTAACAAAACCTATTATTTTATCACTTTCTTTTCCTTTCCTACCTTTATGCATTTTCTCTCTTCTTTTTATAAAAAATAACACTTAATCATTTCATTAGTGGGGTCTATGTTGA